ATAAACCTTGCCTAATCCCACTATTGACTGATACATACTAGTTGAAGATTTCATTTGAGGACTCTGGAATTATTAAGGGGCGCGACATCTTGACATAGGCGTTCCAGGCGGGCAGTTGAAAGTGCCCAAATTTTTGTGGAGGATTGTAATGAAATTACTTGAATTTAAACTATTTTCCTACCATTTGCCCGGATTTCTATGGTTTTCCAAAATTGGGGGGGGGGGGAGTTGGCTCCCCCCTGCCTCGTATGCCTATGCATTTTGAGACTGCAATTCTTCTGGGGTTTATAAAAATCCTTATTTCTTTATGGGGATTACAAAACAAAGATCCTCAACAGGGGGTGGGATATTAAATGCAATAGCATGGCCAATATTATTATAGCGGCATGAACATGATGAACATCGCCGCTATTCACTATTTACTTATTTAGCAATTTAACATTTGGGTGGAAACTGAATGATAAAGAAATCTTTTTTATGATAATAAATAGCGTTAAGTGGATTCATTATTGAAGTGCCAATACAAGATAGTAGATTTAATATAAATGTTAAGATTTTATACGCGCCAAACAATATAAAAGTCGACCAGACCGCATGAATTCTCTGTGAAATAAATGTTACATACATTATACATTTGAGAGATACGCACCTTATTTACGATTTGCAAGATAAAGTTCTTTTAATTTCCAAAACAGCACATTCAACAGCACATTCGAAAGCAATAGATTCCTATTCTGTACTTCGGAGCAAAGAAATAATTTCCATTTCGCGCCGTAATTTTCGTTGAAATGCAAATTTCAACAAATTTCCGTATATTTTCCTCTTAAGGAAGTATATTAGAGCAGATGGAAACATCTTGTTGAATCACTTCACATCTTGTTGATTCACTTCACATCTTGTTGAATCACTTCACATCATGTTGAATCACCTCACATCATGTTGAATCACGTCTCATGCTGATGCCTTGAGATACTTTGTTACTTATGTTGACTATTTGTTCATCCCAGTGTAATTGATACAATACAATACAATTTCATTCAGTACTGTTAGTAATACATACAAAAATATAAAATTGAGATAAAGTTATGAAGAGAAGGTACTAGCTAACTGTAATAACCAAAAGGCTAAACAAGACAGTCAGCAAATTTGATTAGTAACAAATATATTTTAGTGGGTAAACTGAATAAATAAAACACATGCAATAAAATTTCAAAATGGACAATTTTGATGCTATAAGCTAATATGAATTCAATATATTATTTTTAAGTTTGTTTTTAAACTGAGATTTAGAAAGACCCACACATTACATCATCATCTATTATTGTGCCTAAGACCTTTTTAGAAACGACTTGTGTTAAATTTTTCCCACCGATGTTAATATTCATTTCACTTAAGAAATTTGAAAAAAGACCATTGCAACCATAGCATATATTACGGTCAGATTTTCCCGACATAAATTTTTCTAGGGTGTGTACCTTTGAAAAATTAAATTATACTATTTTCTAATTGCAAATATTTTCAATTTTTTATTGCTAATTAGTGCAATTTTCTTCCAATTTACTAAATTATATTGATAAAATTTTCTCGAGTTTTTATTTCATTTTGGATAATTAAATGTTTATCAAATTTCCTCCTGAAAATACTGCCCGTATTTGTGGGTTTTACAGCAATACTAAATCACATCGGCCTGAAGTCGAAGCAAGGCATTGCAAACCGCAGCATTTTCCTCAGTCTAACCATAGCAAACCAATCAGAGCGCTGTATTTGCAAATTTTTGCAGTGGTCAGATTGAAACTGACCGTTGCAAAAATTTGCAAATACGGCGCGTTCTGATTGGTTTGCTACGGTTAGATGAAGCAAGCCAATCATAATGAAGCAAAATGCTGTTTACAATAGCCGCCTCAACTTCAGAGCGATGTTGACTTGTAAATTGTTGTGTTCGCTCCTCGTTGTAATCAAATAGTCGATACATTTTAATCGCCGCTCGTTGCACGAATATCAATATATCATGGCATCAACAGATCCACTGGACGAGCTTTTGTGTATTATGAACGAACGTGTTTCTTTTAACGAAAAGGCGACTAAACTAGCCTCTGTTAAATCTCTGTGTGAGAAAGTAGTTGTTGATGAATCGCGAAAGAAATCAGATCGAAAGGTTTTGGTATGCAATTTTTCTCATTTGCAGTCCCGCGAAGTGAACAACAATGCTGTTTGAATCACCTTCCTGTCAGGTTAGTCTTATGAATAATATATTAATATGTAAATAACATATTGAATGTTTACACAGACAGTTCATTCGTCTCAAATTTATTACCATATTTGTGCTCATGAAATGTATTATTAAAATACAGAACAATCATGTCAAATTTGTCAATGGCCTCTCACTCCTATTTGATAGCCACTGGCAGGCATGCCATGCATGTTTATTTTAAGAAATATGTATTAAAGTTAGTCTGCTATATATTGTATATCTTAGACTCTGCATTGTTCATATAAGTTTATTGTAGACCTGCTGTAGTTTATGAAGACTAGTGTTTGTGAATAGTGTAAACATTCTAAATTTTAATATAGAAATAGTTTAATACACTCAGATATATTTATTATATTGTAGATTATACTAACATAGTTTAGAATATTATTACACTATTAGCTAAGCCTGCTTCCTGGGATTATATCATAAAATATATGGTTAAATTAGGTGTTTCAAATCCATGTATTGTATGTGGACTGGTACTTGTGAATTATGAAAGTGGCAAACAGTCAAACCAAATATTCCAAATTCACCTACAGTAGGCTAATAAATTAACAACCATATTTATATTTCCCAGCAGTAAATAATATTTGTTGTGTAGGTGTAATGTACTCAGGTGAATATAATGTTTGTGATGTTACTCTGAGTGTATATCCACACTAGGCAGGCTTGAAAAATATGCCTGGCCATGGTGGGAATCGAACCTACAACCTTTGGAATACTAGCCCAATACTCTGCCAACTGAGCTACATTATCAGGTCAGTTTGAGTATGTGGTATTTTGGAACTTTTTCTAGTTCCTTCAATTATTAATGTAATCTAACAGTCATGATATTTACTCAGGTAAATAAGTGGTGCCGTGGGACCCCTGTTTTTTGGGGGGCCATGGGCAGTACTTTTCCAAAAAAATTTCCGGACAATTTTCCGGTGTATATCCCACCGGGCAGGCTTAAAAAATATGGTGGTGATATATCATGATTATTAGATTATATTACATTGATATCGAACTAGACTCAGTTCCAAAATATCACATACTCGAACCGACCTGACTGCATAGCTCAGTTGGCAGAGCATTGGGCTGGTATTCCAAAGGTTGTAGGTTCGATTCACACCGTGGCCAGACATATCTTTCAAGCTTGCCCGGTGTGGATATACACTCAAGTAACACCACAAGCAGCAGTAAATAAGTTATCACATAACTTATTTACTGCTGTTGAGGAAATATATTTTATGGCTTCAGAACTGTTGTTGTAATGTACTATCCAATTAATGTTTTACTTGAAGACCCTGTGGAGGGTGACAAACACAGTTGAGGGGAATATAACATTTTCAATTTACCAGATCCTGGGTAAATGATGTTCCATGAACATGTCAAAATATTGGCTAATATGTTTCTGTATTTGCCACCCTACACATAGTACTGCAAAATATTGATTGGTGCATAAAAGCTAATAGCAGTGATTATAATCAAGTGATTCATGGCACCATGCATTGATTGGTCGCACAAGCTTAATGTTGAAAGTTGCCTCCTGTGTTCCTAACACAGATTAAAGATAACAAGAGCTATGTATTTTTATGCATTTTAATCACAGATCCCATGCTCACTTTGCTGTGTTTTTCCTGAATTCTCCATAAAGTAAACATTTACCAGTATAAACTGGAGCTGTCCGACAGTTTGCCTACTTGCATGTCCCACGTGACAAACACAACAGCTAACCTAAATATAGTTTCCAACATTAATTCATTTTATGAATGTGTAATTATTCTTATAAGACTTACTATTACAGTATTTACTCAGGGGACCTACTTCTTGTAAGGAGGGCCATACAAAATATAAACATGGATATAGAAATGCACAGTATGCAATATTAGAAAATTAAAATACAGGATTTACCATAGATCTATATATACATTATGATTAATTAATAAAATTACTAGAAATATCCTTAATTTTGTCGCTGGACAATTTCCACAAACATATTGATTAGAGTTATTAACCAATTAAGCGTCAGCACTTTCCCCTTGAAGTGAGAAGAGTAAAATGTCTGGCATTAGACAGAATAAAATGATAAACTAGGGCTCATCAGGGCACAATCATGGAACTCAATGGGTTAATTAGACACATTTTCAGATAGGCCAGTTAACCCTTGAGCTCCAGCACTTTCCCCCTTGACAAGTAAAATCATCTGACATTTGACAGTAAAATGATAAAGTAGGTTAATTTGCATCTTGCACAGTAAAACCCCACATCAGAACCTAGAATTCGAATTTAAGAACCTGTTAGGCTAAAATATTTTATTTAAACCTCCTTTAAATAAGAACCTGTTCAGGTTAGAATTCCAAAATAGATTCTTGTATTGTCAAATTGAGTCACATGAAGTCATAAGTTACAACCAGTGTAGCTTTAAAGTGCATATAGAGTCAAATCATGTTTATGGCGGAAGGTCACACATTTTTGAGCTCTGTCGAACAACTCGATTTATCGACCGAAAGCACCACAGAAGTTAATTCTACTAAGTCTAACATTCATGGCAACTTACATTTCGATGATACCAAAAACCAATTTAAGTGGCAAGGGACAGCAGACGAACTCAAGAAATATGTCGAAAATCAGCTCGCCATACCTGTAAAGACCAACAGCAACCTACATGTCTTTAAAGCCACAGACACAACCGTAACTCTAAACTGGTATTTGTCAACCTTAACTTTACAAGTACAAGGGGCCATCAAGACAAGCTATAGTAGAGAAAATGTCTAAAGCAATAGATATTGCCATTGGTCCAAATGACGCGGCCACGACGAACAACATGCCTGTAAATTTCATAATTGAAGACGAACCTGCCGAAGGAGACGCTGCTTTGCAAGCCAGCATTTCTCAATGTGAGGGTTGCACAATCCTGTCTGAAGAAGTTAAAGAACTCCGGAAGACTGTTTACTCTGTATTAAGAAGGCTAGATGATTTATCCGCTAAAAGTACGCAAAATGAAGCAGCACTGGAGCAAAAGTTTGACAACACCTATGATGTAATTAAAGATGGTGTTCTTAACAATTGCCACGGTATTAAAGCTATCAAGGACGAAATAAAAAACTCTGAGGACAGGCTGCTACAGAAATTGAATTCAATCCATAATTCAGAACATAAAGATGCCGAAGAAAGTAATCATGCATTAAATCACGAAAATACGGTTGAACGTGACAACGAAGGGCAGTGGACTAAATTTCAAAATCAAAAGAAACCAAAAGAAGTTAAAACTCTTATCATTGGCGACTCAATGATTAAAGACATTGATCCGAAATCGATGTCGGCCGCTGGTAGTATTATTAAGAAAAGTCGTCCTGGGGGAAAACTTGAAGATATGTCATCTATGCTTAATAATTGTGAATTAAAATGCAAAAAATCTGTTATTATTCACATGGGCACTAATAACATTACGTCAAATGATTCACCAACAGACATGGCATAGAAGCTCGTGACTGAAACAGAGAAGATCCAATCGTTGACGCAAGCGCCTCGTGTAATCGTCTCTGGTATAATACAACGGAAAGATGTCAAAGCAAACTGAAAATTACCGAGGCTAATAAACTGCTCAAGCAAATTTGCTATGAAAAGAAATGGAAATTTATTGATAATGAGCACATCGATGATTCTTGTCTTAACTCAAGCAAGTCACATCTAAACAAGAAGGGAAGTGCATACTTAGCATCAAATTTTCTGAAGAAAATAAACCCGAATACAAGAAGGAGTAGCGATAGGAGTTCATCAAAGGCAAAGAGTGGAAATTTTCAGCTACAGAATTCATTGCTGACAGCCCTGGTACAGAACTTCCTTCAAAATCAAGACCACAGGTGAATCTCGAGTGTGCTAGTATTAATTATAGTGATATTATACCGGAGGTTAGAATCACAACAGTACCTAGTCAATCTAATGTCCATATTAGCTTGGAACCAAATATAATTAATGTTAGACTATATGTAGTAAACAAAATGCTCACAATATTCATACCCAAAGTACTGAAGCACATAAAATTAATAATTCTAGATCTAAGGCTAAGTCAAATGTTAAGTCTAATGCTCATAATGTCAAAGAAAAAGGTAGCAAAGTTGCATGTCTTAACGTTACCAGTTTACCGAACTACTTTTGTTTGACCGAGAGTTTGAGATTCTTGCCCTGAATGAGACAAGGCTTGATGATTCGATACAAAGTGGTACAGTTGATATTGATGGATACGACATAGTCCGTCTCGACCGAAATAGATTTGGTGGCGGGATTTGTTTTTATGTCCGTAACAGTATCAACTATATAGTAAGAGATTATCTCTTAACCAAAGAATTAGAAATCCTAACATTAGAAATAAGGAAACCATTTACCAAACCTTTCCTTATTACAACTTGGTATAGGCCTCCAAATCTCTCACAAGATTGCCTTTCAACTCTTGAACAGTATCTAATCAAACTTGACTCTGAAGAAAAAGAATCTCTACTTCTTGGTGATTTTAATTGCGATATATTACATAATCCGCTCACTGCTCTTACCAAAGATGTCACTTTTCTTCTAGAATCATACCAATATACTCAACTTATCAATGAGGCTACTCGAATAACCCCAGAGTAGCAAAACATTGATTGACCACATCTATTCTAATACTACTCACATGATTAATTCTAGTGGAGTGTTACATATCGGTATTAGCGATCATAGTTTAATTTATGGTGTTCGTAAATTCCCAAGTTTTAAAACATCAAAACGGGGCATCTGTCTCAAAAAATTTAACTTAAATTTGTTCCTAGCGGACCTGGAAAGAGTTCCTTGGAACAATATTTTTAATTTTGATGATCCCAATAGCATGTGGACAACTTGGAAGTCTATGTTTTTGACTATTTATGACTTTCACACACCCATAAAATCAAAGCGTGTTAAATCAGCATGTGCTCCGTGGTTAAATAAAAACACCTAAAGGAGCTTATGTTTAAGAGAGATGCTTTGAAAAGGAAAGCTAGTATAACTTCCTTACCCGATGATTGGAGAAACTACAAACAAATTAAAAATAATGTAAACATTGCCATAAAATCAGCCAAATCTGCATATTTTGATAACAAATTCAATTCTTGCAAAGGAGATATTAAGAAAACCTGGAAAACGCTAAATAATTTATTATCGCATAAAACAAATCAATGAACCACAATAAAAACCCTAGCTTCTGGTCACAGTGAATTAAACGATCCGTATCAAGTCACAAATTACATAAACCAGTATTTTGCAAATATAGGCGAAGAACTAGGCATTTCAACGACTGATACAAATATACCATTTGAGAAATATATCACCCCATCCAACACTGAATTTACTTTAGAGAACACCTGCTCATCTGAAGTTTTAAGTATTTTACATTCATTGGCTACATGTAAAGCCACCGGATTGGATGGTATATCCACCAAAATCCTCAAAATGTCAAGGCCCAATAATTTCACTTTGGTTAACTGTTATTTTCAACCAGTCTTTTTAAAACTGGTATTTTTCCAAGTGAATGGAAGTTAGCGAAAGTTTTTCCATTATTTAAAAACAAGAAAGGAAATAAAAGAAACAACGCTGAACACTACCACCCGATTTAAATTTTACCGACTGTGGCAAAAATATCAAAAATAATCATATATAATCAATTATACAACTATTTTACCAAACACAATATTCTGTCGAAAAATCAGTCGGGATTTCAAACAAAACATTCTACTGTTACTAGTCTTTTACATGCAACCAATGAATTTTACACCAATGCTGATAACGGATTGATTACTGGAGTCATATTTATTGACCTAAAAAAAGCTTTCGACTCAGTAAATCATGAAATATTATTACGAAAGCTTGACCTGTATGGCCTTAAAGGGGTAACTCTGCACTGGTTCAACAGCTATCTTAGCGATAGGCACCAAAAATCGTTTGTAAATATGAAATTGTCAAATGAAGCTATTATTAAATGCGGTGTTCCACACAGATCAATTTTGGGTCCATTGCTATTTCTAACATTTATCAATGATTTTCCAAACTGCCTTTTTAATTCCAAAGCTGACCTTTATGCCGATGATACTCAAGTGTATACTGCATCGCAGAATATATCTGAACTTGAAATTAAGCTAAATAAAGATCTAGCTGAAATTGAAGTATGGCTTTGTGCTAACAGATTACAAGTCAACATCACTAAAACCGAATACATGTTAATCGGAACTGACCACAGACTTAGTAATTTGGACCATGAACCAGTCCTAATACTCAATCATAACATTCTCAAGCGAGTTTCAAAATAAAAAATATTAGGTTGATAATTCACGCAAATCCTTTGTGGCCGAAATTGGGTGGCGGAAAAAGTGCGGTTTCCGGGAGGTATAGGCCTCCCAGAACAGCTGGAGAAACAACATCAGGATGAGGGTATAGGCCCAGTCACCGTTATGGACATTGAATCCCATGTCCGGGCCTGGCTTTCCCGTGGTGAAGTGAGAGAAACAGAGAGAGCCAAGGTCAGGTCGAGGGTAAAGGGCCCCCGGCGTTATGGACCTTGCTCTCCTTGCTGGTGTGTGTGCTTCACCGTGGGCAAAGTGTGGCCGAATGGACACCACCTTCACCACAGATCGAAACGTAGAGCACTTTTCATTTAATGTCCTGTCCGGTCAAACCCAAATTTTTTTTTTTAAATTTTTTATTTTTTACTCTGTATCAATGGAAATATCTGGTCTGTGTTCTCAAATATCTAGCGAGAACGGACCTCGTTCTAATTTTTATCTACATTTCTTTGGTCGGATAGAACCGAAGCCCAAAGGTTTTGTGTTTCATTCAACGATTTGACGTTCTGACCGGTCTGGCTGTGTTAATGGAAAGTGCCCGTAGTGTAGATCCCCCCGTGTGAAGCATGCATGGGAGATAGTTTTTTCGGAAATGAACCAAAGTATGGATATAGATTATAGGATGTTATAGATATGTTAATATTGATTGCATAATAAGTATATATATATAGTAAGATTTAAGGATTAAGTACTGAAGCTAGTTTTTGAGGAACTGAGTTAATTATTGTTCCTGGTGTACGAATATACAGTTCGTAACAGTCTGAACGCCATCGACCTAGAGTTTTAATTAACCATGGTGGTAAGTTCGCTGCCGCAGCAGTTGTAGCTGCTCCGATTCTAAAACTATGCGGAGCATATTCGTTTTCTATATAGCCTAAAATATTCAAGAGTTCTCTTAGATTAGCACTAAGTATAGTTCTGGTGAGTGGTTCACCGTTCTGCAGCATAAATAACGGTTCATCAGTGTTTGTTGGGTTTCGTTGCAGTAGATACTCCCGTAAGGCGATGACAGCACACACTGACCAGTGACTTTTTGCAATAGCCAGAGTAGTTCCTTGGCGAAACGGATCGGATTGCTTTATGCGTATGTGTAGAGATTCGGGATTTTTGATGGTAGGATTAAAAGCAACGTTTTTAACGGCGAGAAAAGTCTTTGTGCTTGAGTAGGTAAATTTGCTAACTCGTAAGAAACCGAAGAAGGCCAATGTAAAGGCCACCCAGAGCATGACAGTATCAAGTTCCTTTGAAAAATCGGGACGTAACAACGTTGAAATTTCTGCCAGAATTTGTATGGTTATGGGGCGACGGATACGTTGGGGAGAACTTGAGGTCCGTTTCATGCCTTTTAAGATGCGGTGGAGTTGAAACATATGCGTAGTGCGGAGAGGGTGATTCTGTTCTACGTAGAAGTTGGTGATTGCAGAAAGGTATAACTTGGCAGTTGAGTACTGGACTTTATCGTGAAGCGAGGCGACGAAATACACTAGATT